TGCTGCCGAACTGCAACCAAAATTGTAACCGTTAAATTTAAAATTGCTACAGATCACCGACCAATCGCTTTCAACATTTGCGACTGATTTGCGACCACTGTTCATAATTACAACAGACATAATCTGCGACCAATTTGCGACAGGATTTTAGAAGGAAGACAAGACTAAAATTAGCGACTGTGAATACTCAAATTTTGAGGTTCAAAAAGCCAGTTTTCCCGGACTGCGAATAATAAAATTTGCTACACTAAATTTGACTTTGCTACAGTGCCTTTTTTTTTCGGACTGCAAACAGTCCGGCCGGGCCGGAGCCCATTTTGAAAACTTGCCGAAAGTATGCCAATATGGTACTTGAAACGTCCGAAAAATTACGAGGATTCCAGAACTGGTCCCGGAATAATTTTTGGAGGTCCGGAACCCCCGGAAAAGCTCCTGGAGCGAGGTACGAGAGACACCACCGCACACGGCGGCTCCGGACACCACCGCACACGGGCGGCTCCGGCCGCCGGACACCTGCAGCAGCGGACCGCCCAGCTGCGCGGAAGCAGCCGCTTGCCGCCGCCCAGCAGCTGCCGCCGACCACCGCGGGCACCTGCCGCCCCACCTCTGGGCGGCAAGCTGCGCCGGACCCGGCGACACCTGCCGCCCCAGACCCATTTTTTTGCCTATAATAGTCCACTTACCCCTCTCATTGCACTTACCCCTCCATTTGAGCTTGCTCGGTTCGTGTTGACGGATGCTCCTTCTCCCCCCACGCTCTTTGCGATTTCTTTTACCGCTTTTTGCATTTTAATTCAATTTTAATTGTATTCTGTTGTGATACTTGGTCACTAAAATTGAACAAATTAAAATTAATTAATATTGTCCCAAACGAGGAGCTTAATCTGAAATTAAGAAGCGGTCGTCGATTAAATTAGGTACTTAAACGAAACTCTGCCTATTTAATTTTAGCACCTCATGCATGCTTCTCTTCTACTCCTAATAATTCTACAACTGCATAAATGCATTCATAAGATGCTCATTGCGATATACATATTTAGATTCAAATTAAACTGTCTCAACTAAATAAACAATTTTGGCTAAAGAGCCTAGTTAATTAATACTCGGTTCAACTGCCTTATTTCACAATAATTCGGCGCTTAAGTCCAATTAACTTCAATAATTGATTGACTAAACAAGCCTTTTAATCAATCATCTACTGCTTTTCTGCATTTAGTTTAGGCTCTTATTACTCTGCTGTTGTGATACTTGGTCACTTAATTGAATTAATTTTAATTAATATTCCCCAAACGAGAAGCTCAATCTGGAATTTTCAAACTGAAGCTAAGAAGCGACCGCCAATTAACTCAGGTAATAACGAAACTCTGCCCATTAAATTTCAGCATTTTGTGCATATTCTCTTCTACTCTAAATTCTAATTAAAATATTAAATGACTGCATTCACACCATCGTCGTTTTGGCAGCAAACTGCCTTAAGTAAATAAGTTTAGGCTAAAATTCCTGGTTATTCAATAATCGTGGCATTAATGCTAAACTCCGAACATATTGGCTAAAGGGCCTAGTTAATTAATAACTACGGTGTAATTGCCTTTATTTCGAAAATCAATAATTGTGACCAACGGCCTCATTCAGTCTCGCCTTATGACTAAAAGCCTTAATACACATCACATATATTAACAAACGAATTGTATAATTGTGGATATCAACCCGAATGCCCGCATTAATCCAACATATATTCGTGGCATTTAAAGTCGTTAATCTCGACAAAAATGGCTTAATGCCTTATTTTGAACGGTCTCGCCTAAAAGTCCAATTAATCAATAATTGTGACCAACGGCCTCATTCAGTCTCGCCTAAAAGTCCAATTAATCAATAAATGTGACCAACGGCCTCATTCAGTCTCGCCTAAAAGTCCAATAAATCAATAATTGTGACCAACGGCCTTATTCAATCACATTTTGGCAACGAATTGCTTACAGTTTAATCAATCACCTTTTGGCAATAAATTGCCTACGGTTTAATCAATTTTAGGCAAACAAATTACCTATAAATAAGATTAACCATTTTTAGCGACAAATCGCTTATCAATCAATCTTTGCAATAATTGCTAAACAAATGCACAAAGCATATCCACACTATGCACAAAGTCATTACCACACTCAGCATTAGCATTACAATTTAAGCCCTTTTAAAAAGGACTATCGAACTTACGTTGACTTTGATCTTCATTCAACGGAAGTACGTAGGCACGTTAAGGGATTTAAACCCCGAGCGGCAAGTTCGGAAATCACTTAAACATGTTCATTTGGTCCAATTACATCTTTTACCTTGCAAAGCATTCCATCATAGGTTGTTGATCAGCATGACATGTCTCGGGATCCACTCGAGTTCGTAGTTGTGCCTTAAACATTGGGAACATTAAATCAATCATTGGTTACTTAAATTGGAGTCAACTAGGGGAATAATTAAACAAGGTGGTGACTCACACACTCACGTGCATTCCTTCTCATTCATCATATGCATTACATGCCTATGTGTTTTTCGGGGAAGGGGTTCACAAGTGCAGATAGAGAGCTAAGTCAGGACTTATGCTATGTCTTGCGATTGAGACGAACTGGAAGCCATAGTCAAAAACCTTGAAACTCGCTTGTTATAAAAACAGGACGAACTCTTACTATCTTAGCAAGACGAGAGCATTTGACTCATAGTTACTAACTAATAACTTTTAAATTTTTTTTATTTAATTGAAATTAGTTTTATTTATACATTATACTAATAATAAACTATATAAATTAATCACAATATATTTTTCTTCCTCATGGTTTACTCATTATCTTTTAGACAAAGTTACAATTTGCCTTTTAAAACTTAAATTCCATGTTGAGCTTGGTTTTTGACCAATTTGATTGAAATATTTTAGTTCATGGCTAACCAAGGTGTTCATGCTTTCAGATTGAAATAGTTGTACAAATCAAACATATAAAATAATATGTATAAGGAAAATTTTATAATTTCATTTAATAATTTGAGCTTTTAAGTGAAAGGATTCTTTCTTTATACTCGCTCTCTTTGTTTTTTTTTTTTTTTTTTTTTTTTTTTTTTTTTTTTTTTTTTTTTTTTTTTTTTTTTTTTTTTTTTTTTTTTTTTTTTTTTTTTTTTTTTTTTTTTTTTTTTTTTTTTTTTTTTTTTTTTTTTTTGTTGGAATTTTGGAAAGTATGAGTGTTATTAATTCTTGGATTGGCTTTCAAGGTGCTACATTTCATCATATGCAGAGTGTCAAAATGGTTTATACTACGAGAACACGATTCATCTAATACAGAAATTAAATATGTTAGGATTGAGTCTAAATAGATTCATGTCATAAATGAGATAACACTGGTTTAAATGGATCGTGTCATGGGTTGACTCGTTCAATCTGTGTAACCCATTTAATTAAAGATAAAAAAGTAATTTCAACATTATACGTGTCAGATTTTTTGACATGCATATCATCCATATATGATCCATTTAATTACCAGGTTGAATTTTTTAATCCTTATGCGACTCATTTATAATTAAAAAGGATTATATAGTGTTAGTATCACATTTTAATTTTTTACAGTGTTCATTTTTAAATATTTAACATAATTATTAGATGAATCATACCCTAATCACATCCCATATTAGATGGGTTCATATCCAATCCAACACGTAAACAAGATTTGACATCCTAGCCATATGTTTCATAGTAGGGCGTCAATCTCGCCATAATGAATTACCTCCTAGACCTAAGCCTCCCGATATCAAATTACACTGTAATCATTCATTTGTTTTTTATAATAGAATTATAAATAAATTGAGTGGAATATTATTTATTTCAAGTGTGGCCTATTGAACGTCTACTTTAACTCTATCATAACTCATACTCACTTTCATCTTAAAAAAATTAAATTTTATGTTACTTTTAAAAATAGTTAAGCACGAGATCGAACTCATTTGAACTATATTTAACTTGAGTTCAGCTCATTATCATTTATATTTTTTCAAAAAAAAAAAAATTGTGGAGCTCTTTTACATGTTTGAAGAAGTGGCTTACAAACTTATTTGTTCATATTGAAACTCACTAATTAGCTTATGGGCCGCATTTCAAAGTTTATAAGTAGGCTCAAATTTGACTCATTAAGCTTATTGAATATATTTTTTTTTCCATGTGAGTTTCAAGAGATCTACAGTATGCTAGTGAAACTCTATTAGAAACTAGTCCATAAAAATATTTTTTATTTAAATAAATATAAAATAAAAATTTTTTATTTTTATGTAATTATATAAAATCAAAATATATATTAAAAAAATAAAAAGATATATATTACAATAAAATCAGCACCAATTAATCAACAAAATTTCAAGAAAAATTAAACATTAACAATTGATTTCTTTTATTTTCTTGAAATATAATATACTAAAAATAATAATAATACACTTAAGGCTTTGTCTAAATATAGATGTGAGAAAATTTTGCTGTATAACTAAAAAAGGCATGTAATAGAAATAGATATTATTGAAGTCTATTTTCAGAATTAAATAAAATGTCAACACTAACCACATTTCTTGTAAAAGCGACATTCACGCCTCTGAAAAGTCAAAAGTCAATTTTCATCTAAAAGCATAAATTATTCTTAGCCATTCAATTATTTACCGTCCAACGGATCCTTCGGTCACCCCTCCCCTCATAACTTCACCAAGAATCCCTCCTCCATTTTCATCTCCCTCTCAACCTATCCAAAAATATAAAATAAAATAAAAACAATAAATGTGAAAAAAATGAGAAGAACCCTAATCTAAAAAAAAAAAAAAAAGCATCAAAATTCTCATTTCCATTTTGTTCGTTATTCTCTAACAGAGGGAGAGAAAAATAAGTAAGTTCAGGAAGTTTTTCCATTTTCTTTTTGAATTTTTGTAAATGATTTCTAAAGCTTGTAAGCATTTTTTATTTAGTGAACATTGAACGAAGCATAATTTTATGCCATTGAGTCACTGGTCGAATATATATATACACGCATATATATCTGCATGATAGTTGAGTGACTCGCCTCCTAATGCAGGAAATTTCAAAAGGATTTAAATCCTAACATCCAAGTTTTTAATTAAGGGGGTGAAAAAATAGATGTGTACATACACAGTTTTTTCCCTTTAGGACAATGGGTGAGTGCTTGCGTTTTGGTCGAGTTTTGTGGCATTTGGTCAATAACTCCATGATCGAATACTTATGTCGTGTTTCAAGAAATCAGAGGTTCAAATCTTAACGCATTTTTTTTTTCCTAAATATACAAGAAAATCAAGAAATATTCAAAAAATATATATTTTTTTCGACGTCTGTGTTATTTTTTATATATAATATATGTTTTGTCAATTTGTTAAGGTTTAATGAGTTGATTGTTATTTATTTGTTTGATGCAAAAAAATTTTTTTTTAAAAAAAAATTAGGCGTTTAATAAAAAGGAAGGGAGGGGGATCAAACAAGAAGAAGGATAATATGGCAGACGAGGCACCAGGATCTCCCGGAAAGAAAGTGGCAACGCCTTCGACATTGATGGAGAGTCTTCTAGGTTTGCTTAGAATTCGAGTCAAACGTGGCGTCAATCTCGCCGTTCGTGATGTTCGTAGCAGTGATCCTTATGTCGTGGTTAAGATGGGAAGACAGGTCTCCTTTCTTTCTTTCTTTCTTTCTTTTCTCTCTTTTTTTTTATTTTTTTATTTTTTTTTTATTTTTTTATCTTGTTCTTAAACTATTACTAGTGAGATATTCTTTTGCATACTGTTAACCATCTTCTTTCAATGATACAGAAATTGAAGACTCGTGTAATAAAGAAGGATGTTAATCCAGAATGGAATGAAGATTTAACTCTTTCTATTACTGATCCTAATCTTCCAATCAAGCTGGTAATTATGTTTCTAATTCTTCTGTATTCTTGTCGGATTAATATTTTTCCAAGAAAACTTCACCAGCTTCGATTGTGAAATTGCAGATTGTGTATGATCATGACACATTTAGTAAAGATGACAAAATGGGAGATGCAGAAATTGATGTGAAACCATACATACAGGCCTTGAAAATGAATTTGGCAGGGGTTCCATCTGGGACAGTTATATCAAGGATGCAACCTGGTAGGCACAATTGCTTGGCTGAAGAAACCTGCATCACTTATGTCGATGGGAAGGTGATTCAAGATTTCTGCCTCAGATTAAGAAACGTTGAATGTGGTGAAGTCGAAGTCCAACTTCAGTGGATTGATCTTCCTGGTTCAAAGGGTTTATAAATTTTGTGAATTTTTTTCCTATGGTATATCCTACTACAGGTATGGCGCTAGCTAAGCTTGGATTGGTTTCAAGCTTTTGGAATCCGCCATAATACAATTTTCATATTCTTGTTTCATATATGCATTTTGTATTGTCTATTCTATCAGAATTTTGTAACTCGTCAGAATTGACAATTTTGGGTTCTTGTACATTATTTTCAATTCTAAAAATTTTAATTTTGAATCATTTATTCGGATTCCTTTATCTATATTTATATTTTTACCCAGCAAAAAGAGTATTATTATCGATGATGAATAAAAAAAAAGTTAGTTAATCCAAGTTTAATCCTAGCTGGCAAACCCTGGTGTATTTTTTTTTCTATAAAATATGTAAGATGCTTAAAATTATTATAACATAATATAATTATAAGAATTAAATATATTTAATTATATATTTCAGGCTGGGCTGTTTGAGTTGAGTTACTATTAGTCCGAGTCTGACCCAATTCTTTTGTTGGATTTAAATTTGAAGCCTTACCCAATCCAAAATACTACAGCTATAATAGCCCAATATATTTTAACAATAGTCAACCAAAATTGCATTGGTGGATGTATTGTAGATCAGTTGTTCAGTTCTTCCTCTCTTATTTAGGAACTCGCTGGTTACAATTAATATCTTTTACCAATAAATAATTAAATATTGTTGTTTTTTTTTTTTTTTTTTTTATTTTTACAAGATAAATCAATTAAAATTGGTTGTTTTTTTTTTTTTTTTTTTCAGCTTCTTATAGGGAAATTTTTTTTTTTTTTTTTTTCAGCTTACTTATAGGGAAACAAAAACACTAGCTTTCTGTTTAGATAGGGAAAGTCATTATTTATTCTTCTATGTTGTCAAAAAATATGTTTTTCCTTCGTATTTTTTTAAAATACACAGTTTTGTCTATACCTTTTGCTTTCACTATGTTATTTTATTATTTTATTATTTTTATATTTTTATATTAATATAGAGACAAATTAATTAAATTGACAAAATGTAGGGATAAAATAGTCAACAAATATAGAGACAATAAATCCGTATCATTTTCTAATTTTTTTGTAAAACCATTGGTTCAATTCTAAAGTTTGCTCCACCAAACTATTTTGTATTGCTATTTAAAATTATTGTTTTCATTGTTAAATATCTTGTAGTATTTGACTATTTGATTATTTAGGTTCCATTTGTTTTAGTAAAATAACTCGCAAAAAATATTTTTTCAATTTATTTAGAGTGTTTAGAAAAATAAGTCAACGGAAAATATTTTCCTGGTCAAGAGAAAATTAAGTCATTTTTTAAGGAAAACAATTTTCCATTTTCGAGAAAGTAAAAAATTTTTCGGACATTGACAAATCTTATAAATTCATATTTTTTAATTTATTAATCATTGTAGTCACTACCACTAGTTACCATTTACCACCGACTACCACCGCTAGTCATCACCACCAGTTGCTTTCATAATTTATCCTTTTTTTTTTGCATTCTTTTCATTTTTAACAATAAAAATTTTAAATTATTAAATTTCTATTATTATTAATATGTTTTATAGTATTATGAGATAAAAAATTTAATATTTTTAACTAATTTCAACATTATAACCAAACAATGGAAAATAAGTTAGTTGGAAAATATTTTTTAGAGAAAATTTTTTTTTCCATAGAAAATATTTTTCAGCAAGTTTTTTTACGGAAACAAATAAAGCATTACATTCAATAAATATTACTATTTACTATTAAGTCCCTAATGTTTATATTAAATTATTATTTAGTTTTCTCATTCAACAATAAAATGGTACTTTTTAAATGAAAATACTAAACATTTTGATAAGATTAAATCTCAAATGGGTTTCTTTGATATAATTATACAGTGAAAACCGAAGTGCTCTCCTTTTCTCCTTTTTCTCTCTAGTCTTCTAACCCTAATTTTAGTTTGGTTGTCACTGTTTATCAGCGGTAGCCTTACCTCTTACTTTTTACTTTCTCCTTCGATTCTTTTGCTTTAATAAACTCAGAAGTGTTTTTCCTATAGAAGATTTGCCTTTTTGTTTGTTTTGTTATTTTTTGTTTGTCTCCATATTGAAGTTTTTTTTGTCCCTTCTATGTTAGGGTTTAAAATTAAAAGAATTATGATATTTGATTTTATTTTATTCGGTTGAAGATTTTATATTTTGATTTGCAGGTATGGATCTTCGATTAATAGAGTCTGATAGTGCGGCCTGTTTCTCCAGTGACGATATAGATACATCATGGCAAAAACTCATCTGTGTTCATCATATGTTACAAATTCATGGAAAATCAATCCAGTTATAGAAGATTCAGAGAAATTATTATTTTGATATTTAAATTAATTAACGGACTAGGCACTACTATAAAGATTTATATCTTTTGTCAAGATCAACTACAACCGGATAGATCTAATATTATATTTTTTAAATTTTAGTTTCATTAATTCTTTTGGTTTGTTAAAAGACCAACATAGCCACTAATAATAGAGTTCTATATCTAGTCTATATAAGTATGTGTAATTCTTAATATTATTATTAATGAATTATATTTTTAAAAAAAAAATCTCAAATGGTAGTTAATAATAAACAATATAGATAATGATAATAATTGGAATAAAATAGTTAATTACCTTGTCTTTAACAAAAACGCTATTCCAATAGTTGAGTGGGATCCACTCATGAAGCTTTTTTTTCATGACTTTTCTTTTCTTTATTAATTAATAATCATCAAACTTTACTGCTTGAGTTACCTTTTGCCCATTGAATTCAAAATAGTCTGAAAGTTACCTTTTGCTTTATTGGCTAAAAGTTATCTCGTGGCTATACAATTAGATTTGCCTAAACTTTTTTGTGATAAATATATTTATCTCATTTGATAATTTCTTATCCATGCAGAATATGTTGACTTAATTTCTAAAAAGCCAGGTGACAGATTACTCATCACCAAATTTTACTATATATTAAAAAAGATATTTCAAATAAATTACTAAGATTTAAGTTAAATTCACACGTGTATCTTTAATTTTTTTTTAATCAAATTAAAGAGTCCTTCATGTTTAAAATATATAAATGTGATTGCATAATTTTTTTTTTTAACTTTTCTTTTAATAATTACAATGTTGTTTCATTTAGAAATTTAAAGATTACTTATTTGTTCATTAGCGAGAAAGATTTTTTTTTTTTTTTTTAGTACATAGCGAGTAAGAATTATAGATAGTTAATAGATGATGAATTTTGATTGTTTAATAAAAATTTAGTGATTAAAATTGAAAAGTAAAATGAGTATTAAATTCTAATAGTCCTTCTTCTAATAAAAGAGATCCTTAAATATTAATTGATATATTTAAATTTGAGAAAATATTTAGTAAACAATATTAATTGTTTGTCACCAATTTTGAAATATGGTAAAAGTAGTTAATGTTTATATTTTTTTTTTAAAAAATCATATTTTATATTCAGTATTCATTGCTATTAATCATTCACTGTCATTATAACTCTGAGAAGGTAATTTTTTTAGTGTTAAAAATTGAAATTGTTAAATTATGTTTTTTCATAGTTTTCTGTTTTTTTTTTTTTTTTTTTTCTGTTTTTTTTTTTTTTTTTTTTTTTTTTTTGAAAGTTGTATATTGCTCAATATTTTTTTACATAAATATTCTAAGGAAAAAAAAGGTTGGAGACACTCTAACATCACATTAAACTAAACAATTAAAATATATTAGGGAAATTGGAACATTTAAATGAAAAAAAAATACTTCTAGTTGATTTAATAATTAATTTATTGTAAAATCAAGGAATAAGAAAATATAACCAACACTACAAGAAAAAAAGGAATTAGTGACCAACAATTTTTTTGCTACCGCTAATTTAGCATTACCGATAAATAGTGACAAAATCTTTTTATTGGTAAAACCCTTGTCACTAAAAAAATAGTGATAAAAAATTTTTTTATCGCTAAATATCATTGTAAAAATTAGGCAAATTTTGTTAGTAAAATTTTTGTTGCGATTTTGTTGGTATTTTATCGTTAATTTTTTTGTTATTTTGTCTCTATTTTATCGTTAAATTAATTTTAAAAATTTTAAAATATAATGTTTCATTGATAATTTATCGTTATTTTGTCATTAACTTTAAATAAAATAAATTGATTTTGTTAGTAATTTGTTGGTATTTTCTCATAGTTTTTTATTAGTGATTTTTAAATTAATAAACTAATTGTATTTTAATAATTATATTAATTAAATTTTAATAGCTAAACTAAATAAAATAATAATGATTATAAAAGCATAAAGAAGTAAAAATTAAAGAAGAAGAAGAAGAAGAAGAAGAAAGAAAGAAAAAAAAAAGTATAATAGAAGAAGAAGAAGAAAGAAAGAAAGAAAGAAAGAAAGAAAGAAAAAAGGAAAAAAAAGTATAATAGAAGAAGAAGAAGAAGAAGAAGAAGGAAGAAAGAAAGAAAAAAAAAAGTCCCTCATTTGTAGTAATATACACCGTTGATCAACTAAAGCAAGAAGATACGCAGAAAGAAAGAAAGAAAAAAGTAAATATATATATATAATAATATAATATATATTATATATAATAGAAGAAGAAGAAGATATAAATAAGCGCATAAGAGATAGGAAAAGAAGAAAAGAAAGAAAGAAAGAAAAAAGTATATATATAAAAAAACTATAAATAGAAGGAAAGAAGAGTAAGAAGAAGAAGAAGAAGAAGAAGAAGTTATATATAAAAATGTAATATGAAAGACAAGAAAGAAGAAAGGAGTTTAATGGCAAGAAGGAAGAAGAAGAAAGAAAGGAAAGAAAGAAAGAAGGAAATTGGTATTTAAAAATAACACATTATGGCGATTAGCGAGATTTTCGAGAAGAAGAAGAAGAAGAAAGAAAGAAAGAAAGAAAGAAAGAAAGAAGAAAGGAGTAATGGAAGAAGAAGAAGAAGAAAGAAAGAAAGAAAGAAAGAAGGAAATTGGTATTTAAAAATAAAATTATGGCATTTAGCGATATTTTCGGTAAATTTCATCATTTACCGCCTATTTTTTTTGCCTAAAATTTTGAATTTATTGACAAATTTATCGCTAATTTGACGATAACTTTTTAAAATATGTACGTATCTATGGCGCGATTTGTACCGATAAAATTCACATTTGTCGCTAAATTTTATCGATGATTTGTTATTGATTTGGCACCAATATTAGGTGCCTTTATTAGTGATAAAATTCA